CCTCCTCCTCCCTCCTCCCTCCTCCTCCTCCCTCCTCCCTCCTCCCTCCTCCTCCTCCTCCCTCCTCCCTCCTCCCTCCTCCCTCCTCCCTCCTCCCTCCTCCCTCCTCCGGCGCCGGGCTCGTCGCCGCGTCGCCACGACGCGCACCGTGGCCCACTGCAGAGAGCAGCGCCAGGGGGCGGGCACTCCTCGCTCACCCCCGCGCAGTTCGCGCGGAGCACGGCGGCGAGGTCCGTCCGGTCGAACCTCTCGGGCGCGCCGTGGGCCCAAAGAGCGAGCCTCCTCCCTCTCCTCCTCCCCGTCCTCCTCGTCCTCCCTCCGCTGCTCCCTGTTCTCCTACTTCTCCGCCTCCTCCTCCTCCTCCGCCTCCTCCTCCTCCTCCTCCTACTCCTCCGCCTCTTCTTCCTCCTCCTCCTCCTCCTCCTCCTTCCCGCTGTTCTCGCGCCTGGGCGTGAGGACCTGCAGAGCTACGGGCTGGAGTGGCAGGGCGCGCCCGCAGTAGCAAGGGGACTAGCGGAGGAAGGAAGGACGTCTGGAGCCAGAATGGGGACAGGAAACCTCGGATGGATGGGGCACAGCGGTAATGCCTGCCGCATTCCCTGCGATGCAGTGTGGATCTCACGAATGAGCGACAGGGGATGATGATGATGATGATGATGATGATGATGATGATGATGATGATGATGATGATGACGATGATGATGATGATGATGATGATGATGATGATGAGGAGGAGGAGGAGGAGGAGGAGGAGGAGGAGGAGGAGGAAAAGGAGGAGGAGGAAAAGGAGGAGGAGGAGGATGAGGATGATGATGGTGATGATTATGAAGAAGATGGTGATGATGGTGGTGTGATGATGCTGCTGCTGATGATGGTGGTGTGATGATGATGATGGTGGTGGTGGTGATACTGATGATGATGATGATGATGAGGAGGAGGAGGAGGAGGAGGATGAGGAAGAGGATGAGGATGAGGATGAGGATGATGACGATGACGATGATGATGATGATGATGATGATGATGATGATGATGATGATGATGATGATGATGATGATGATGATGCTGATGATGGTGATGACGGTGGTGATGATGATTAGTATTAGCAGGAGGAGGAGGAGGAGGAAGTGATGACGAGCCCGCAGAGAAAAGCCAGAGCAGGAGGAAGGTGAGGGAGAGGAGCAGGACAATCAGGACAACCAATACCAAAAACAGGTGTCCCTGTGGATAGCTCCGTAGCCACGGCTCTCAGAGATGGGACCCACCTGGTTGGGGAAAGCGCTCGGGTCGAAGGTCACGAACATGGAGAAGGGAGCGACACGTGGGAGCGACGTGCACGGACAGAGGATAAGTGCGTCGTGCTTTCCTGCCCCGACGATCGCGTCGGGAACAGCCCGGGGACCCGTCTAGGGGGCCACATGCGAAGCCTACCCCCACCCCACACGATTTCTGAGGGGGAGGGTTCGCATGTGGCCCCCTCCCGTCGCCCGCGACTTGCCGCCCCGACAGCAGCCTCGCCTCACCCGCTCTGCGGGGGCCGGCGCTGGCTTGGCCCGCCTGCTCTGCAGGAGGCCAGCGGGGGCGTACCCGTCGGGCACGCGTGCGCTGGGGCTGCCGCCCGGGGGAAGCGACGGCCGCGGCCCTTGCCGCAGCGAGACGGGCATCCGCGGCGCGCCCCCCCTTCGCAGAAAACGCGCGGCCCTCCGAACTTTGAGGCGGCCAGGAGGTCTGAGCCGGGTGGGGGCGCCACAGAATCATTCAGGGGAGGGGGATGGAGCCAAATCCCGGCAAAATCGGCTCCGGGACCCCTCCCGGGGGCCCATCTGGTGCAATTGTTCGCCCCGGAGCAGTTTGTCATGGCCCCGGGACGCGAAAACGGCCCCCAGAGGCCGAACCAGAAACAAAAACCTAACCCGAACCCAGAGCCTCGAGCCTGCTCCCCTTTCCTGCTGGCGTGCTGGGCCACCTCACACCCCCAGATGCTCTCGCCCTCGCTCGGACGTCCACCCGCCGTGCATGTCTCTCGGACTCGTGCGCGCTGTCGTCCGCGAGGGGACCCAAGGCGCTCCCCGACCGCCCTCGCCGAGGACAAACGTGCACGACGCCCGAGCGATGCCGCGCGCTGGCGTGCTGGGCCGCCGCAGGCCCCGCAGCGGCTCCACCTCCGGACCCCGCTGCCCTATCGGCCCTCCGCCCTCCGCGCTGCCCCTCGCCCAGCCGCCCTCCCCAGCAGCAGCGCTGCTGCCGACCCCCGGCCCCGCTCTCGGCCCCGCTTCCCGCCCTCGCTGACCACCCGTGCCTCCGCCCGCTGCCCACCCCCCCTGCCCCCGCGGAGCCCGTCCCTGAGGAGTCTTCGTCTGAGAAGTGCCACGTCTTTCCCACTGTAGGAGGAAGAAGGGAGGTTCAGGCAGAGGCGAGGGCGAGGAACAAATTGGAAGGTGATGCCCGCTCGTTGGACCCCAGCCAGCCTCGCATCGCGTCCTCCGCCCGCTGCCCACCCCCTCTGCCCCCGCGGAGCCCGTCCCTGAGGAGGCAGCTGCTGGAAAGTCTTCGCCTTAGGTCGGGCATGCCCTCCTCCAGGCGGATTTTTAGGCGAACAATATACCAACGCGCCAACAACGCTCACACATTGTGGGAAATAATAGAAAAATCGTCCACCGACTATTTTTGTTCAATTTTTGTATATTCCTCCTGTAGAGGGACGTACCCGACTTAATCTTCGTTGGACGGATTGGGGGAGAATGAACCCTGGAATCGCGAGCCGGAATCTTCGGATCGAATCGGTTCGAATCGGCACCCGCGGAAATCGACTCGATTCGAGCCGGAGGAGTCAGAAAGACCCCTGCCACCCGTGGGCCTGCTACGCCCGATCAGGCTGCTGCTTAAGCGGCGTTAGTGTAAGCTGGATTCAGCGGGATAACGCCAAACAAATCAAGCGGGAGCAAGCCGGACGAAGCCAGACTTCGAACCAGGGCAGAGTCAGAATATGACCTACCAGGAACGGCATTCGAGGGCCCCTGCCCCCGATGAGCCCGTCCCCTTCCCCGCGCTTGCCCCGTTGTCCCTGCCGCGCCGCGCCGGCACTGGAGGACACGGAGGGGGAGGAGGAGAAGGAGGAGGAGGAGAAGGAGGAAGAGGAAGAGGAAGAGGTAGAGGAGGGGGACGAAGAGGAGGAAGAGGAGGAGGAGGAGGAGGAGGAGGAGGAGGAGAAGGACGAGGACGAGGAAGAGGACGATGACTTGATGACTTGGAACAAAACATTCAACTTTGGTCCTCTATGTGTTCGTGCTCGTCGCCTCCGGCGGTTTTCGCGGTCTGCGGTCTCCGGGAGCCGTTTTCTCGGGCCCCATGGGGCCCTCAGAAAAAACGGACCAGGGATGGAGAAAACTCCCCCCAGGGACAGAAACACCCCCAGGGAAAACTACATCCAGGGGGAAAAAAAACCAGGGAAAACTGCCTCCAGGGAAAACTACCTCCAGGGAAAACTACCCCCAGGGAAACTACCCCCAAGGCCCTCAGAAAAACGGACCTGGGATGGAGACGGACCTGGGATGGAAAACTCCTCTCAGGGAAAAAACACCTGCTGGACGTTTCTTCGACACGCCCTGCAAAAAGTGCCATGCCTTTCCCACTGCAGGAGGAAGCATGGAGGTTTAGGCAGAGGCGAGGGCGAGGGTGAGGCACAAAAAGGAAGGGGATGCCCGCTCGTTGGACCCCAGCCGGCCTCGCATCGCGTCCTGCGCCCCCTGCGGCGCTGAGGGCGCGGAAGGCCTGGCGCAGCGACCTGTGGCGGCGTCCGGCAAACCGCGGCGGGTTCGCGTGGTGACGACGCCAGCGCCAACATCTGACCCAGATCTCCGACGATGCATGTTCGAAGGGGCCCTGGGACACACCAATACATACACTCTTATAAAACTGTTCCCCATATTTTCCCATATTTTCTGGGCTTCTGTCTTCCCCCCACTGCCCATCTTTTCCCATACTTTCTGGGGAATCGACGATTCATTGTGTCTCTGTGTGCTTTTCTTTCCCTCCTGGATGTTGTGCTCCATCCCGGCGAGCCTTCCTTCGATCTCGGCGCCCCGGCGGCTGGCCCTCGGGCCCCGGGACTGCGACGATCGCACCTGGCCAGCCATGGTGGAACGCTGCCCCCCGGGGGAAGCGGTCGGGACCTCCGAGAGGGGCCCTGGGGGACACCAATGAATACAAACAAATAACAGGATTCCCCAAATTTTCTTACATTTTCTGGATTTTTGTCTTCCCCCCCATTCCTGGGGGATCGACGATTCACTGTGTCTCTGTGTGCTTTTCTTTCCCTCCTGCTCTGGGCCTCCACCTTCCGTTGTATCCGTGTGGCCGATACGGCACCAACATCGCACCATTAACCGACGAGGCTGCCGAAAGAGCCCCCAAACAGCCCAAGACGGCCCAAGACCGCCCCTGACGCCCAAGAGCGCCCCAAGACCGCCGAGGAGGGCCCCAAGAGGGCCCTAAGAGGCTCCCAAGAAGGGAAACACCAACTGACATTTCGAGCTGAGGCCTTTAATAGTTTCCAAGAGGCACCAAAGAATTCCCCAAGGTGCCTTAGGGCCCAAGAGAGCCCTAAGAGCATCACCACGGGAACCCAATAAGGGCAACATGAATGGTTTCCATTCGGTTTCGGATATTTTTCGTCGTCGCCGTCGTCGTAGCCGTCGCCGCAGCCGCCGCCGCCGCCGCGGTCGTCCTCGTCGAAGTCGTCGCCGCAGCCGTCTTCGTCGTCGTCGTCGTTGCACCGGCCGTAAAGCCATTGCCATACACGGCTTCAGCGAACGATGGGCAAGAAAAATCGGAGAATCGCCAGATGCACCCTCTCGGCTCCGACCTGCCCCAGACCGATCCGTGGCGGCGATAGACAGCCCGTGCGCATAGATCGGCGATAGGCCCCCGATGGCAAATGCGCACGTTCCTGGACGGGTTGAGCCATCGGCCCCAATCGGCGATGAATGGGAGATTGGTGGCCGGTGCACCCACCACTGAGCATGGCCCCCCCCCCCAACGCTGCCCCTTCGCTTTCGGGTCATCACTCGGCTCTCCCCGGCTGACGTTTGGGACGAACCGAGCCTCCCGCAGCGCTCTCGGCGAGACGCAGCTGAGGGAGGGCACCCCGAGGCTGGAAGACGTCCAGGAGTTGACGGGAACGTCCGAAAGCCTCGAGCCTCGAACCTCGGCCCTCCCCGAATGAACTTCGAACCTCGAACCTCGAACCTCGAACCTGGGCTGGAAAACGTTCGAAAGCCTGGAACCTCTCCCCCCCCCTGCGCCTCTCGCCACCCCTACGAGCATGGGCCCCCCCCAATGGTGGCCGGCGGTGTGCTCTCCACAAGGCCCCAACCCTTGGGTCGGGCATGTCCTCCGACAGGCGGATTTTGAACGACAAACTAAAACATAATCATAATGGTTTGTAAGAAAAACCCCCAAAAACGTCCCCTGACTATTTGTTTACTATTTTTGGAGATCCCTCCTGCCGAGGGACATGCCCTCCTGCAGGCGGATTTGGAACGAAAACGAAACATACAAAACATGCCAAACATATTCAAACACCTGTACACAAAACATCCCCTGATAGTTTTTTGGCTAGTTTGGAGCATTCCTCCTGTAGAGGGACATGCCCGACTTGACCCAACTCGGCGGTGGACCAACCTCCATTTAGTAAACCTCCCCCTAGTGAAAGCGGCCTGGGACCGAAACCGACGGACCCGGACCCGCAACAAAGGACGGCCGCGACGCCCTCTCGCGAACCGAAAACGTCCCATTCCTGAATCGACGTGTCAGGTCAGGAAGTCTGTCCACCCCCGACTACAATAGGGCTAGGATCGGGATAAATCGCTGCAGAGCGTTCCGGAGCGCTCTCAGAGCGTTCCGGAACGCTCTGGAGCGGCCGCTGCGCCCAATACGTCCTCCAAACCCGCCGGTTCTCAGAGATTTCGAGTTATCCCGATCCGATTTCGTCCCGATCTTCGCGTCGTTTTACTGTCCGCCCCCGACCCCCCCCCCCGCGACTCGTAGCGCCGGTCCAGGAACTTCCGGAAGAGCTGCATGGCGAGGTCGGCCTCGCCGACGCAGTCCTCCTCTGCGCGCGGCGGGGGGGGCCCCGCGGGCGCCCCGGGCATGCGGTGGGCGTGCTTGTCGCGCCGCGGGGGGGAGCACGACGGGAGGGGGCGCGCGAGCGCACACACCCAAACACGACAGGAGCGACGGGAGATGAACGAACATTGACATTCGGGAGCGGCCGAGAGGGGGGTGTCCAAGAGGGGGGGGTGCAAATCATGGCCGGCGGCATGTGCGCGGCCCAGGGGGGGGAGGGGCCAGGGACGTGGCCAGGTCACGACGGGAGGGGGCGCGCGAGCGCACACACCCAAACACCACAGGAGCGACGGGAGGGGAACGACCATTGACACGCAGTCAACCCGCACGGGACAGGGCGCACGGGCGCACACACCCAAACACCACAGGAGCGACGGGAAGGGAACGAACATTGACATGCAATCAACCCGCACGGGACGGGGCGCACGGGCGCACACACCCAAACACCACAGGAGCGACGGGAGGGGAACGGACATGTATTAAAGGGGCCCCAGGGCACGCAAATGAATACACACAGATAAGAATGATTCCCCATATCTTCCCGTATTTGTTGGGCCTTCGTCTTCCCCCCCCCACTTCCCATATTTTCCCATATTTTCTGGGGAATCGAGGATTAATTTTGTCTGTGTTTCTTCCCCTCCTGAACATTGACATACAGTCAACCCGCATAGTACGGATGCGCGGTAAGGATGCAAAAAGGCCTCGGACGCCCACTTCAAAGCCTCTCGAGCGGGCCGCGGCCAAGGAAAGCGGCCAAGGCTGGGCCGAGAAGGCAGGGATGCAAGGGCACCCTTGGGAAGGCCGCACATCCTTACTATGCGGGTTGACTGTAAACATGATAACTCGAATATCCACGTGATTTTCCGGGATCGGCGCTGGGGCCCCCTGGCCGCGCCTCTGGCGCCGCCCATTTGTGTGCTTGTGCCACCTGCTGTTCCCCGACATCCCCAGGCATGCTCGCGCCGTGGGAAAAAAAAACACGACGGGATGAGAAGCACGAGTACGCAGCGCACACGAATACCGCACGAGCGACGATCACAAGCGGGTCTTGCGCGAAGTGTCATGGCGACCTCACGCGGCGGCTGACGCGGGCCGCCGGCGCGGCACGCCACCACGGAGACGAGGCGCCGCCTTACGCGGGCAACTTACGCGCCAGTGTCCGCGAAGACGACCTCGTTTTTTTGTCGTCGGCCGCACATCCTCCTTGGAGGCGTGCGCCCAACCTGGACACACACAACAGAACCATCTTGAATGATACAGGCCTCGGAGCAAATTAGCGAACAGTCAATCCACATTCATCTGTCAACGGCCCCCCCTCCCCCCAATGTTCAAAGTTGGCGGTGGGTCTGATGAGATGCACTTCGACCGCAGTCTCCCACGCGCGTGCCAACACTGAGGTTGGGGGGGAGGGGGAGTGTTCAGTAATTGTTTCCCTCTACCGTATCGTTTCCCGAGCGGTGTGGTCAGCAAGCGCCCGCCAAGGGGCTTGCCTACACTACGCTATAAGATGTCTCGGCGCGCGCGTCGCCCCTTGCCGGGAGCGGCGCGCACACAGTACTAGTATTAAGGCGGGCCTGTCCCTCAACCTAAGAACGACGGCTGGAAATGACGCATCGCCAAATAAAGCACATAGTCAGATGAAGCCGCTGAGGCTAAACCTAAGAGCCACGTGAGCAAATAACTGTTCGTCACATCTCTGGTATGCATATAACATTAAACCGTTGACCTTCTTTCTGGCCCATATTTATAGACACAAGAAATAAGCATATAGATGTGAGTGTGTAAAATTACAAAGATGTGTGTAAGTACGTATTACTCTCCGTCTCCCTTGCTCTCTCTCTCTCTCTCCCTCTATCTCTATATATATGGTTTATGTCCCTCTCTTTCTCTCTTTCTGACTCTCTCTGTCCCTCTCTCTCTCACACTGTCGCTCTCTCTCTCTCTATCTCTCTGTCTCTCTCACTCTGTCTCCCCTGTCCCTCCCGTCCTATAGGTCTCTCTGATCTCTCTCTCTCTCTCTCTATCCTTCTCTCTCTCTCTCCCTCTTCCGTGTCTCTCCTCCTATCCATCTCCTTGTCTATGACCCTCCATCTCTCCGCCGTTCTGTATGTGTGCGTGTGTGTCTCTCCCTCTCGCTCTCCTCTTGCTCTCTCTCTCTCTCTCTCTTCCCCCCTCTCTCTCTCTCGCTCTCCCTCACCGCCCCCCCAAATTCACAAGAAGCCTGTAGCGGCCAAGGTCTGCATAGAGGCTGCCGCCAGAGGCGGAGGGAGGATGGGAGGAGAAGGAGGAGGGGGATGAAGAAGGGGGGGGGAAGGAGGAGGGGAGGGAGCAACAGGAGGAGGAGATAAGGAGAAAGAGGGAAGGAAGCAGGAGTGCGGAGACAAGAGGAGAAGGAGGGGGAGGAGGAGGAGGAGGAGGAGGAGAAGGAGGAGGAGGAGAGGAGGAGGAGGAGGAGGAGGTGCGGACACAAGAGGGGGAGGAGGGGAGGGAGGAGGAGGAGGAGGAGGAGGAGGAGGAGGAAGGAGGAGGAGGAGGGGAGGACGAGGGAGGAGGAGGAGGAGGAGGAGGAGAGAGGAGGAGGAGGGAGAGAGGAGGAGGAGGAGGAGGAGGAGGAGGAGGAGGAGGATGCGAAGGAGGAGGAGGGGAGAGGAGGAGAGAGGAGGAGGAGGAGGAGGAGGAGGGGAAGGAGGAGGAGGAGAGGAGGAGAGGGGAGGAGGAGGAGGAGGAGGAGGAGGAGGGGAGGAGGAGAAGGAGGAGGAGGGGAGAGAGGGGAGGACACGTGCAAGGCTCCCCCCCTCCCCCCCGGCCAGCGGAGGTGGCACGGGCGGCAGGCCTTCCGCCGCACGGGCTCGGTGCGGCCACCGCGTCGCAGTCCTAGAATGGGGCGGCGCCGGGCCGCCTCCCAACCTGCGCCTCCTGCTCCTCTCCTCCTCCTCCTCCTCCTCCTCCACCTTCTCCTCCTCGTTCTCCTCTCCCTCCTCTCCTCCTCTCCTCCTCCCTCCTCCTCCTTCCCCTCCTCCTCCTCCTCCTCCTCCTCCTCGTCCTCCTGCTCCTCCTCCTTCTCCTCCTCCTCCTCCTCCTCCTCCTTCCCTCCCTCCCTCCCTCCCATCCCCCTCCTCCCTCCCTCCCTCCTCCCTCCCTCCCTCCCCCTCCCTCCCCCTCCATCTCTTCCTCTTCTGTTTCCTCCTCTCCTCTCCTCTCCTTTCCTCTGCTCTGCTCTCATCCTCCCCCCATCTTACCATCTCCTCTTCTCCTCCTCCTCGCGCAGTTATCCCTCCCACCTCATCCTCCCCACTTTCCCTCCTTGTTTCCCTTGCCACTTCACGAGCTTCGGCAACTGATTGAGGGCGGGTGTTTTTGTTCAAAACGGGACTCTCGCCGTGGCACCGCGCACGCTCGTGTTTTTTTTCAGCACCTGGCAACTGCATGCATTGGGAGCGAGTCGATATCAACATGGGGCTGTCACCTTGGCGTCGCGCACGCTCGTCTTACGCAGCACCCAGCACGTATACGGATGAAGGACGGTGCCGTTTCAAAGTGTGGTTCTTGTCCCAAGCATTCTTCAAAGCTATCATGTTGAGCGACATTTGAACACCTGGGGGCGCCTTCCTGTAAACATTTGGTTATCGCTGGAGGGTTCCTCAAACCTTCTTACGGGGATTTTCCGAATGCAGGACAGTTCTTTTCCAAAGCGGGGCTGTCGGTAATCACGTCCAGAAGCTGCATGGCCAGACCTGGTCGCATGCCTTGTCACAGTCTCTCCGAAACGGACCTCCCCCCTTTGTGCGGACCACGTGGCGGTCGTCTTTCAATGGGGGGCCCTCCGCGCAGTGAACACAAACGCTTGCAGGGCCTTGGACGGAGCACACGCGGGACGGGAGTGATACATCGTTGAAGAGTCACCCTAGTCCTCCTCCCTGTTCCTCTTCCTCCTCCTCCTCCTCCTCATCATCATCCCCATCCTCCCAGTTCCTCCTCTCTGTTCCTCCTCCTTGTTCCTCCTCCTCCTCCTTCTCCTCCTCCTCCTCCTCCTCCGCTCCTCCCTGCTCCTCCTCCAGCTCCTCCTCCTCCTCCTCCTCCTCCTCCACCCTCCTCCTCCTCCCCCTCCTCTGCTCCCTCCTCTAGCTCCTCCAGCTCCTCCAGCTCCTCCTCCTCCTCCTCCTCCTCCTCCTCCTCCTCCTCCTCCTCCTCCTCCTCCTCCTCCCCTCTCCTCCCTCCCCCTCCTCCGCCAACCCGCCCCGCACGGGGCCCGTGCTCGCGCCGCGACGGGCCTCACGGCGGGAAGCCGTGGGCCGCCTCCGGGCACCCGAGTAGGGCCCTCTGCAGTGGCCCCTGGGGCCGTGACCACACGGCCCCGGGCGAGAGGCCGCAAGGAGTAGAGACCTCCAGGGGGGCCCACGTCATCCCATCCTCCTCCTCTCCAGCCCTCCCCTGGGCTCTCCTGCGGGGGGTTCCTGCTCCTCGTGCGTCGTGCTCCTGGCACCTCCCTCCTCCTCGCTCCTCGCCCCTCCTTCCTCCTCCCTCCCTCCCCTCCCTCCCTCCCTCCCTCCTCCTCCTCCTCCTCCTCCTCCTCCTCCTCCTCCTCCCTCCTCCTCCTCCTCCTCCTCCTCCTCTCTCCTCGTCCTCGTCCTCGTCCTCCTCCTCCTCCTCCTCTCCTCCTCCTCCTCCTCCTCGTCCGCCTCCTCCTCCTCCTCCTCGTCCGCCTCCTCCTCCTCCTCGTCCGCCTCCTCCTCGCTCCTCGTCCTCCTCCTCCCTCCTCCTCCTCGTCCTCATCCTCCTCCTCCTCCTCCTCCTCCTCCTCCTCCTCCTCCTCCTCCTCCTCCTCCCTGCATCTCTGTCCTCCTGTCCTCCTGCCCTCCTCCTGCTCCTGCCCTCCTGCTCCTCCCTCCTCCTGTCCTCCTGTTCCCTCCTGCTCCTGCCCTCCTTCTCCCTCCTCCTCCTCCTCCTCCTCCTCCTCCTTCCCCTCCTTCCTCCTCCTCCTCCCTCCTCCTCCTCCTCCTCCTCCTCCTCCTCCTCTTCCCCTCCTCCTCCTCCTCCTCCTCCTCCCCCCTCCTCCTCCTCCTCCTCCTCCTCCTCCTCCTCCTCCTCCTCCTCCTCCCCTCATCCTCTTCCCCCCCCACCTCCTCCCCCTCCTCCCCCTCCTCCACCTCCTCCACCTCCTCCCTCTCCCCCCCCATCCCCCCCTCCTCCTGTCCTCCTCCTCTTCTACTCTTACCTCCACCGTATTATCCTCCGCCTACCTCCTCGTTCAAGATGTATTGCTCCTCGTCCTCGTTTCACCTCCTCTTGCTTTGCGCAACTCCCTTATATCATCTTCCGACTACTTACTCGAGCCATTATACTCGCCAGTGCCACTCCTGTGCTCCTGCTCCTCCTCCTCCTCCTCCTCCTGCTCCTCCTCCACCTCCTCCAAATCGCCCTTCACCTCCCTGTCACGATCAACACGAATCTTCATGTACGTAGCGTGTCTTCTGCGAGATGTTCGTGCTGGACCTGACGAGCGAAGAGAACCATCATTTCAGCAATTGAGCAACTGGTCGCATTCAAATCGCAATATGCGTGCTGTGCGGTCTCTCTCCCCCTACGAATGTCAGCCAACAGCTGCAGATGTAAGCCGCCTGTGGCGGCAATCCATATCGCCTTCCAAGCAAGAGTAGGCGGCAGCTCGAAGGAACACCAAATCCAGATGTCACGAACCACCTGGTTCGGTTCAACACCAGCGTTTCGGACCCACAGAGGCGTAAGCTTCCCCGCGGGTGGCACTGCAACAGAGCAAAACAACAACCGATCATCCCTCGCGCGATCTCAAACGAAGTCGAAACGAAAAGCGGAACATGTACTGCATCACTGCGGCGGCCCCCTAACGCACCGCATGTAATCAGTGTAAACAGTTACAGCGGTTAGAACGAATAAATGTTCGAAGTAATTAGCTGAACGAATGTGTTGGATGGAGCGGACAGTCAAACACGCTGCCCCGACAGGCTAAATCCTTGGCATGACAATGGTTTTCTTTAGCGGCCACAGCGGGACTGCCATTCGCGACTATGGAACACTTGCGGAATGCAGTGGGGGACGCTTCGTGCGTCACTGGTGACTCCAAGCTTCTGCGGCACCCGAAACTGCACAACTTGCTTGCTCCAATTGGGCCGCCGCCGACCCGTCGGTCTGCTGGTATTTCTGCCAGTCTGCCCGCCTCAATGCAAGAGGCCCCTCGTACGACACGATCCGCTGAACTCTCACCGCCCTCCGCTCGGAAGCCGGGCAAGGGCTGCTAAGTCCGTGGCTGCTAAAAAAGGCCTCCGGGAAGTCTCCGTCCTTCCGGGAAGAAGCCCGTTGACTGTTTCGAGTGACTACCTACCAGACCACCCCAACCCAACCCGAAGGCCCGAATTTGACCCGAATTTCGGGTTGGGGGGGGTACGGATTCCATGTGTTTTTTCAACGTGCCCCGACCCCCCCCCCCTGGAAATGGACGGCAAATTGAGGCCTTCGGGTTGGGTTGGGGTGGTTTGGTAGGTGGTGAGGGAAACTGTTTTTTTACTTCTTCCGGGAGGGCCGTTGTAGCAGCCACGGTTTCAGCAGCCCTCGCCCAGCCTTTCCGATCCGCCCCACCCGCTCTCGAGCCAGACCCCGCCCCGTCCCCCCGTGGCGCACCTGAGCAGGAAAGGGCGCACCAGAAGACCTCGGCGCCAAGACCGTGCCTCCGAGCTCGGAGTGCCACGCGGCACCGCAGTCGAGCGGCAACCGGGAGCATCGCCGAAGCCATCCCCAGGTAAAAACGACGCGGAGATCGGGACAACATCGGATCGGGAGAACTCGAAGTCTCTGAGAATCGGCGGGTTTGGAGGGTGTATTGGGCGCCGCGGCCGCTCTCAGAGCGTTACGGAACGCTCTGAGAGCGCTCCGGAACGCTCTGGAGCGATGTATCCCGGTCCTAGCCCTGTTTTACCATGCCCACTGGCACGGTCCTGGACCCACTCACTGCGCCCGTGCGGATCGCTGCTGCCGTCTGCTTTGGTCCCTGCTGCGCTCTGCTGCCCCCGTGCTGCGCCCTGCTGCCCGCTGCTGGTCTCTGCTGCTCCCATGTGTTCTCTGGTGCTCCCTGCTGCTCTCTGCTGGTCTCTGCTGCTCTCTGCTGCTCGATGGTATTCCGCTGGTGAAGGCTGCTCTCTGTTGCTCTCTGGGGCTTTGTGTGGCTCTCTGCTGCTCTCTGCTGTTCTCTGCTGCTTTTTGCTGCTCCCTGCTGCTCCCTGCTGCTCTCGGCTGGTCTCTGCTGCACCCTGCTGCACACTGCGGCTCCGTGCTGCTCCCTGCTGCTGTCAGCTGCTCTCTGCTGCTCTCTGCTGCTCTCTGCTGCGGTAGGACATCGAGACAAGAGATGGCCCCGACGCTAAAACCGTCCTTCGTCGTATCCCGGAGGAGGCCCCTGGGGCCGAAAACAGGACAGCTCCCCAATCCAAATTGCGCTAGTGGCCTCGCGCCCACGAGCACGGTTTTTTTTAGCTGGGAGGCCGCTACAGAGTCGGCTGAGGACGGATTAGCTCCCCCAGTCCGGATGCGAGGATTCTCCCTTGCTGCCGATTCGTGTGCGGATGGAATACCACCCGCGCCCCGGACGGAAAGGTTTCCCCCTGCGCTGGATTCGCCCGCGGTGCACGGCCAGGCTTACGAATACGGCGACACACGCGTACTAGTCCGACCAGGGTGGGCGGAGCGGCGGATAGCGGGGAGGGTCTGAATAATACGGGTACGTAGGCCTGCGAGTACGACGGCGAAGTGCAGGGAGGTGCGTACTGGTAAGGCTACGTAGGCCTACTGGTACAACGGCTGTGTGCAGGGTCGGGCGTACGAGTACGGCTACGTACGGTTACTAGTACGACTGCCACGTTCACAGCCGAACGTATACGCGTACTAGTACGAACGAAGCGGGCGTACTAGTACGGCTCAGTAGGCCTACTAATACGACGGTGGAGTGCAGGGATAGTCGTACTAGTACGGTAGGCCTACTAATAGAGCGGCGGTGTGCAGGGTCGGGAGTACGAGTACGGCGAGTACGGCTACGTAGGCCTACTAATACGACGGCGGAATGCAGGGACGGTTGTCCTAGTACGGCTGCGTAGGCCTACTAGTACGACGGCGGTGTGCAGGGTCGGGCGTACGAGAACAGCTACGTGTAGCTACTAGTACGACGGCGACGTGCGCGGCCGAGCGTACGAGCACAACTACGTATGCGTATTAGTACTCCCCGCGGTCGTACTAGCAGGATGAAGTAGGCCTACTAGTACGACGACCCAGCAGAGCAAGCCTATTCTGCGCACCCGATGCCACATTCCCTTCGCAAGTCACACCGGGTTCGCACCCCCTGAGCCCTGATGGCCACAAGCAGCCCCGCGTCCCACCGAGAGCGCTGCTAATGCACACAGCATGAGGGGAACGCGCTGCAAACATGCAACAGGATGTTCCATAATAGCCTTAACATCTCAGTCGGTGGTGCTCGTCCGCATCCGTCCCCGCATGATGCTCGCAGATACCTCGAAGACGGTGCCGACACCCCGGCACGGCTGGAGAGGAAGCCAGCGGCAGAGGGCCAAGCTGTTTAAGGATCTGTCACACGCCATGCCTGTTGTGCGGGCAATCTGTATTTCCATATCCAGTGCGTCTTGGACTTTCTTGGAAGGGGCGCCGCAAGGCCGAGGCGCACTGGATATGGATAAAAATTGGGCCTTTTGGAAGCAGCTTATAATCCATATCTAGTGCGCCTCATGTTTCTTGGGAAGAGTGTCCGAAATTCCAAGACGCACTGGATGTGGAGAAAAATTGGGCCTTTTGGAAGCAGCTTATAATCCATATCTAGTGCGCCTCATGTTTCTTGGGAAGAGTGTCCGAAATTCCAAGACGCACTGGATGTGGATAAAGACATTGCTCGCATGTATATCAGAAAACCAAACTGAGCAAACCATGACTGCCGCATCCAACAACATCTTACGATAACGCGTCGCGGAAACCACAAAGGGCTCTTAGAGCATTGCCTGGTGGGCCTGAACATCACGCAGCGCCACTGCTGGAACAATCAGTTGGCCGATTGGCCACGGGGCTGCTGCGGTCAACCCTCTTGCTGCCCTCAAGAGCATGCCCTCGGGTGGGAGGGCCCGGAGAGCCTTGCCCTCAAGGTAGTGCGCGAATTCGTTGAAACTGACAAACCCGTCGCCGTTCAGGTCGAAGCGACCGGCCTGCACCCCCCGCGCCGTCTCGGGGAGCAGCCTTTTGGAAGAGAAAGGGCGGGCAGTGCGTGCGGCAGGGGGAGGGTGAAAGAGTGTAAGTCTCCCTTCCTGAGTTCGTCGGGTGGAGACGATCACGAGATGAGGTCTCCCTCCAGGGAGGAGTCTTCACTCCTAGGCTCAGTCAACACCTGACCCGAGGAGCCGACACGCGGGTGGAGGCGCAGGAGAGATAGGGCACACACATGGGATGTCGGCGTCTGCAGGGGCTGCCCGGTGGCACGTGCCGTCGCCACATGACGAGAGCCTCCGCCAGTATACACTTTGGGAGGTCCGCGCCAACTTCTCGGATCGGCGCGGGGCCCCCTCTGGCGGCGCCTGCAGCGCCGCCTCTGGCGCGTTCCGCGCGCCAGGGAGGAGGGTCCAACGCCGACCCCATCAACTTGTGGCTGCCATGACAAGGGACACTCTAACAATCCGATCGCTGAATTCAAGATGTGTGTTGAAAGCGTTCTAAACATGTTGAAACCATATGTCTTACATGTCTGAGACATGTTTGAAATATTCTTTAACACCTGGGAATGATTCGGCAGCATGCGGCCTTTCCATGGATCGACTCCCACAATTATACATCTGAAGCGGACCTTCGAACAAGTATTTCGCGTCCTTTGTGGGCCCCGGAAACGGCAGGGCCGTTTTTTCACCGTTCCCAACAAAAAACGTACCTTGAAAATGGGAACGGCAAAAAAACGGCCACCGGAAACGGCAAAAGAACGGCTCCAGGATTGGAGCCGGAGCCGGAACCGGTCAAAAAACGGCGACGGAACCGGTAAAAAAACGGCGTCGGAACTGGCAGAAAAACGGCAAAACGGAACCAGTAAAAAAACGGCCCTGTCATTTCCAGGGCCCACTAAGGTCTGAGACATGTTTGAATTGTTCAACATCTCGGAATGATTCGGCAGCATGCGGCCTTGCCATGGATCGCCTCCCACAACCACAGATCGGCGCGGACCTTCGAGCGTGTATGTCGCGTCTGCCGAGGCTGCGTCCCAAGGGGAGCAGAGCGAGCCAGCCTGGGCGATGCCGGGGCTTTGCCCGGCAGCGCAGGCTCCGGGCCCGAAGGGCCAGGGGCCTCGGCCGAAACCCACCGCGCGATGCCGCTCCAGCGGCCAATCTTGGACGGGGCTGGCCTACGGCAGGGGCCCGAGAAGCTGCTCCTTCTCCTCCTCCTCCTCCTCCCCCTCCTCCTCATCCTCCTGCAACTCCCCATCCTCCTCCTCCAACTCCCCATCCTCCTCCTCCTCCTCCTCCTCCTCCTCCTCATCCTCCTCCATTCCTTTTCCTTAGGACTTACTCCTCCCTGTCGCACCCCGAGGTCAGTTTTTGGGGCGGGCCGGGCGTTTCGCCTGAGGCTTCCTCACGATTTATGACCCTGAAGCTTAAACGTTGACAGCAGTTTTACAGATGAAGAGCGGGTCGTTTCCAAAATGTAGCTCTCGCCATAGCGCCGCGAACATTGGTATTGAACCTGTGACCAAATTTGACGGGTTGAGGGCGGGTGGTTTTCAAAATGTGGCTCTCGCCTCAGCGCCGCGCACATGCGTTTTCTATTTTTAAAGTATGCAGAAGCTTCACGGATTGAGGGCTGGTGGTTTTCAAAATGTTGCTCTCGCCTCAGCGCCGTGCACATTCTTTTTCAACATGTGCAAGAGCTTTGTGGATGGAGGCAGATATTTTGCAACGTGTGGCTCTGCATTCGTGCCGCGCACATTCTTCTCTGAAGAGATAGAACTGAACATGTTTTGAGGAAGATCCAGGATGATGAGGGTGCAACGGTTACGCTGGTTCGCGGCGTTGAAGTCCCAGGAATGGTGTTGCGGCACGGTTCAAGATCGTCAATACGCAACAGTCAGGTTGATCCGTGGCGTTGGAATCCCGAGAACAATGTTTTGGCATCCTTCAGGTCTTCATGTGTCTTTCAACGAGGCACTTCCCTCGGTGGAACTGAACCGTTGTAGGGGCATGTGAAGAGGGAGCTTGGAAGGAGGGTCTTTTCCAGCATCGTTGATGACTCTTGGGTGTCCAATGGTCCTCCTCCCCCTCCTCCTCCTCCTCCTCCTCCTCCTCCTCCTCCTCCTCCTCCTCCCCCTCCCCCTCCTCCTCCTCCTCCTCCTCCTCCTCCTCCTCCTCCTCCTCCTCTCCGCCTCCTCCTCCTCCTACCTTCCTCCTCTGCTCCCTCCTGCTCCTCCTGCTCCTCCCTGCTCCTCCTGCCTTCCTCCTCCTCCTCCTCTCCGCCTCCTCCTCCTTCCGCCTCCCTCCTCCTCTCTTCCTTCCTCCTCTCCTGATCCTCCTACTCTTCCTCTCCTTTACTCCGACTCACCTGTTCCATCTTCCTCCTCCTCCTCCCTCACCTTCCCTCCCTCCCTCCCTCCTCCTCTCCTCCTCCTCCTCCCTCCTCCACTCCTTCCTCCTCCTCCTCCCCTCTCCTCCCTCCTCCCTCCCTCCCTCCCTCCTCCTTCCTCCTCACTCATCCTCCTCCTCCTCCTCATCCTCCACCTCCTCCCTCTCCTCCTCCTGCATTCCTTCCTCCTCCTCCTCCTCCTCCTCCTCCTCATCCTCATCATCCTCCCTTCTCCTCCTCCCTCCTCCCCCTCCTCCTCCTCCTCCTCCTCCTCTCCTCCTCCTCCTCCTCCTCCTCCCTCACTACTCCTACCCCTCCTCCCCTCCTCCTCCTCCTCCTCCTCCTCCTGCTCCTTCCTCCTCATCCCTCCTCCTCCGCCTCCTCCTCCTCCTCCTCCTCCTCCTCCCACCTCCTCCTCCTCCTCTCCCTCCTCCTCCTCCTCCTCTTATCCTCTTCATCCTCTCCTCCCCTCCTCCTCCTCCCATCGATCCGCCTCTCCTTCCTCTCCTCCTCCTCCTCTCTCCTCCTCCTCCTCCTCCTCCTCCTACCCCCCTCTCCTCTCCCCCTCCTGCTCCTCAGCATCGATGATGACTCTCTCCGTAGTTCCAAGTGGTCCCCCTCCCCTCCTCCTCATTCCTACCTCCTCCTACCTTCTCCTCCTCCTCCTCCTCCTCCTCCTCCTCCCCCTCCTCCCCTTCCTCCTCCTCCTCCTCCTCCATTTCCTCCTCCTGGTCAGGGAGGGGAGAGGGGGCAGTCGTCGTTTCATGGCCTGCGCCCCGCGAGGGCTGCCTGGAGGAGGCCCGCCGGGTTGGGGGCGGCCCGCCCTCGCCTCGTCGGCGCGCGCCGCTCTTGGGGGGGGGGGGCACGGCGCCCCCACCGCACGCGGACCGCTCAGCTTCAGGTCGGGTATGTCCCCCTTACATGGGGATTTGGGACGAACAAACAAAAATACTCATAAGCGTGTATATATATATATATATATATAAACTGATACAATTAATGGAACAAAAATCACGAATAATAATATGGATACCAATGATAAACATCAGCATTATCACCATCAGCACCATCAGCATCATCATCATCATCGGCAGCATCATCATCGCCATCAGCATCAGCATCAGCAACATCAGCATCCTCATCCTCATCCTCATCCTCATCCTCATCCTCATCCTCATCCTCGTCCTCCTCCTCATCCTCATCATCATCACCATCATCATCATCAACATCACAAACACATCCCTTGACTATGTTTTTTACTTTCTTTGAAGATTGCCCCTGCAGAGGGACGTGGCCCGACTTGAGCCTCGCCGCCCGAGGAGCGCGGGGGGTCGGCTGCGGGGAGGCGCAGGCGGGGGCCAAACGCCCCCGCGGGCGCCCGCGGCAGAACCACGGAGCCGCCGCCGGCCCCCGAGGCCCTCGCTGAGGCTCGGCCCGCCTGTACAGGGCAGTGCTTAATACAAGGATTTTAAAACATGTATGATTTGTTGTATACATGGTGGGTTTATGAATAAGTTTGTGCATGAACTCATCGTTGTTTTTAATACTGACTGCCTGCATTTTAAATACATGATCCGCACGCGGAGCATGCACTAAAAACGGCACTGTACCATCACAGGGATGCGCGACGAGGATGCCAAGGCCTTGGAATCGGGAGCGGCCAAGAGGGGGGTGTCCGAGAGGGGGGCGGGGGGGGGGGGGGGGGGGGGGCAAATCATGACCGGCTGCGTGTGCGCGGCCCAGCGGGGGGGGGCAGGGACGCAATGGAATGAGAAGAGGCGACGCGAAATCTGAGGAAACATCATGGCCCCCGCCATGAGATCCCCCCCCCCTGGTCGTCGCCCCCCCCTGGTCGTCGCCCCCCTCTTTGCCGCTCCCGATGGAAGGCCCATGTCGAAGCTTTTCGAGCGGGGCGCGGCCAGCGAAAGTTGCCAAGAAGGGGCCCAGGCGGCGAGGATGCAAGGGTGCCCTCTGGGAGGTCGCCCCCCCTCACGATGCGGGCCGGCTTGACTGCGGCCCACTCCAGTCCGAGGGGGCGCCCAAGAGGGGGGCGTTCAAGAGGGGGGCGTCCGAGAGGAGGGGTCGCAGATCGTGGCACGCGGCGCGTGCGTGGCCCAGAGGGGGAATGGAATGGGCCCCATCGCGGTGCGATACGACAGGAAGGGAAACGAACTACGAGGCCTTCGCTCGGTTCGAGACCGAAACCTGATCCTTGGGATATCTCCTAAGCTCGAAATTGGTGATGTATCGTCTCCGAGCCGTGCTGAGGGGCTTGGAACACGGCTCAGCGAGACTGCTGCTGAGCTTCTCAACTCCGAAGAAACCACAAGTGCTGCAAATCCATATTGGGTGGGCAGGGGCATGCACAAGCTGATGGGACGGGTGAACCCAGCCTCCCCCTATATGAACCTGCTTCCCCCTCGGCAACTGAAACTTGTCAGACCCTACGGCAATCAACTCGAAACACGAAGAACGCAACCAGGCAGCGAGGGCCTCCTGGGACGACTGACCACGACACCGCAAACATCTAGTGCCTTTGCTGTCGAGGCAATGCTGGGAGGCAAACAGTGCAATGGAGGAAGGAGCGGGAGGGGGATGCGGCCTTGTCGTA